AAACCACAGCACAGCGTCACTCGCGCGCATGCAAGCGGCGCAGGCACAGCAGACGCCGCCAGTCAGTCCAAGGTCCCCGTCCCCTCAGTCGTGTATACAGTCGTGCACGCGTCTCGTCGCGGCGGTGCGCGTCGTCGAGGTGTTTGCGCCGGTGAGCGACGGAGCGGAGGCTACCGAGGTGGACGCGAAAGCGCGTCGACCGAGCGAGCGAGCGAGCGATCGTGCGGGCGGTTCGGCCGACTCGCCTCTCGTGCGCCACGGCGTCCGTTACGAACGGACGTTCGCGAGTGGTAGCGGAAATTAACGTCGTGACGCCTTAACCGCGCGTCGTCGTCGTCGGGGCGTGAGAGGCGAGGCCGAGGAGGGCAATACTCGAACGCCTCGTACGCGCGACAGTCGCAGGGGCGGCCCCGAACAAGGCGCTCCGTTCTGCGTCGCAGATATACGTGCAACAAACGCCGAGCGTGCGGGCTCGGTCACGTGGCCCGGCGTGTGACGTAACTCCGCGCCGGCGGCACTTTCGAGCGTCCGTCCGGCGCGTCGGGAAGCGCGATCGGGACCGCTCGCGAGGATCGTCCCTTCTTGGTCCGGTCTTCGTGCCTGCCCGCGCGATCTTCCTCCGGCGAGCCCGAGTTTTTCGCGCGCAATTTCCGACTTGGCGCCACGGTCGCCGGCGGCGCGGCGGCAACGGACGGTTTTTGACATTCGGCCGGAAGTAGCGCACATATGTTTCCGACGTCGCCGCTGCGGAGGCGCGGCTGCGCAGTCGGCCCGCGGCCCGAGTATGTCGACCGAGGAGCGGCGGCGGAGTGATGTATGATTCGCTGACGACCGTTATCACGGCCACCGTCGTGGCGGTGTCCCTCGGTTGAGGTTGCGCCGCCCGGTCGATCCGACGCCGCGAGGAGGAGGCCGCGTTGCTGGGGCAACAAACGCCGGAGTCGGGAGATTGGGGACTGGCCCGTAGCTCCTTCCCTCTCTCTCTCTCTCTTGCGCGCGCTCCGTCTCTCGCTCGCTCGCTCGCTCGCTCTCTCGGGAGACAGTGGCGGCGGCAGCGGCGGCGGCGGCGGCGGCGGAGAAGGAGGAGAGGGTCCAGCCGCGCGAGAGAGCGCCAGATCGCCGTGCCGTCGTACCGTATCGTGCCGTGCCGTGCCGTGCCGTGATCCGGGGGCGGTGATCGGCGGGATCGGCGGAGCGGAGAGCGCAGCGCAGCGTCGGCGCGAGGGGACCCTATGTCAGATCGACGTCGGCGACGTGGACGAAGCGCGCCAGCATGAAGAAGCTATTCTCCAAGATCGACAACACGTCGAAGGAGCCCAACAGCTACCTGGGGAAGGTGTTCGTCGTGGGCCGCCACACGGTCACCGTCGAGGAGGTCCTGGCGGAAGGTAACGCAAGCGCCTCCCTCCCCTCCCTCCCCCCCCGCCTTCCCCCCGTCCCAGGCCGGTCGCCCAACGGGCGTCACACTTCCCTCGTTCTCCCGCTCTCTCTTTCTGTCTGTGTCTCTCTCTCTCTCTGTCTCGTGCTCCTGTTTCAGCCTCCGGCGCGGACGTCGCGCGAGTGCGGATCCCACACCCGCTCTCCGTTCCAGTTCGCACCGCAACCTGGCCCGCCCGTTCGTCCGTCCTTCCCGCTCCCCGCCTGCCCCCGGACGTCCCGCGTTTTTCCTTCCCGGTCGTCCTCGCGGGAACCGACGAGCACCGATCTCGTCCGCATCCGGGCGGCCGGTTGGTGGACGTCATTAAGCTCGTTGGCTCGCCGGGGGTCTTTTGAATGCAGGTCCCTCGTCGCCCGGGGACGAGTCGATTCCGCGGGATTCGTTCGGGGAGGACCTCTCGCCGACGAGCCCCGTTCGGCACGTTAGTGCCTGGAAGTCCTGATACGTTGATGCGCAAAGCGCGCATCTCGTTCTGCCGACAGACTCTGGAGGGGAAACGTGAGCTTTGTCACTCCGGGACGCGCAGTCTTCTGGCCGAGGAGAAATGCTCCTCTGAAGTAGCGCACCGTTGTGGAATACTATACAGAGTTTTGTTGTTGCGTGTGTCGATATGTCCGGAGCTGGCAAATGGAAGTTGATTGTCCAATCAGTAAATTTACTTTGAGATAAAGCTGAAACGCTGAAACGCACCGTATCTTTTATTGCCACACGTGTAATTGTATCTGTGTCAGGTTACAACGCGCAGCGCGTTGTTCCGCAGTAACCTTGTAGCTCTCGTATATTTCTCGTTATTATTAATCTGCTCCGCTTGATCTAGTTGATTGACAAACCTTTAAAATATATTAATTGCAATTGAACGATGAACATTTGTGCTCTTCTCCACTCCGTCTCTTTCCGCCGTGTACTCGTCTCATGTGGCCCAATTGTTGTCTTACAGGAGGATTCGCGATTGTGTTCTTGGTCAAAGCCTCGGGTGGACGGTATGCGCTTAAACGGATGTACGTCAACAATGAACATGATCTCAACGTGTGCAAGAGGGAAATACAAATCGCTGTGAGTACCTGGGTGAATAAATGAAACGCCAGCGAGCGACCAAGTTAATTCTCCCCCTTTTACAAAATGTAATATCTCGATTACACAGATGGAAGAATAAATGAATTATTTATGTATTTACAGAGCAACCTGAGCGGTCATAAAAATATCATAGGATATGTAGATAGTAGCATAACTCACACCACTGGAGGAATACACGAACTTCTGCTTTTAATGCCTTACTGTAAATCTCAAGTTCTACAAATGATGAATAACAGGTGAGAAATAATTTCCTATCGCGCTACAACAACGCTTGTGCAATTTTATGTGTGTATATACATATGCGTGTGTGTGATTAAACAACGGTGTGACACTTTTGTTTAATCACAAAGTATAACTTGCCCGACGATATGAAGATTTATGGCATACATTAGCAACTTTTTATTTCTAGGTTGCAAACAGGTTTCAGTGAATCAGAAGTCCTGCAAATTTTTTGTGACGTATGCGAGGCCGTGTCAAGATTGCATCATTGTCAAACTCCCATAATTCATAGAGATCTCAAGGTGAACTGCTTAACGGGCGTTACGTAACGCCGTTAGAAATGTCTCGAGCTACATTTAATTGTCTCGCGATAGGTGGAAAATATACTGCTCGCCGACAGTGGCCATTACGTTCTGTGCGACTTTGGATCCGCGACGGGTAAGGTTCTCAATCCCAGCGTCCACGGCGCCTCGGTGGTTGAGGAGGAGATCAAGAAGTACACCACGTTGAGCTACAGGGCACCTGAAATGGTTGACATGTACTGCGGAAAACCTATTACTACGAAGGCGGATGTATGGGTAATGTATACCGCTTACGTTTTTTATACGCGTCGCAATACGATTGTGATGAAATAAAATTAAATCTAAACCAAGCGTTACGAACTTGTCTTACATAGAGTCCTTGTCTTTCAGGCTTTAGGATGTCTGTTGTATAAACTCTGCTTTTTTACACTACCGTTCGGCGAAAGCATGCTTGCTATACAATCTGGAAATTTCACTATACCGGATAACTCGAGGTATGTGAGAAGTGTCGCGGGGCCGACACAAGTCGCTCGAATTCCTTGGGGCCAGTTTTACAAACGTCGGTTAACTGCTAACCAGAGTACAGTTAACTCTCTATGTTTTTCTACCTTGTTATTTACGAAGAGACAGAGGATCAATTAATCCTCGGCTAGCAGTTAACCGACGTTTGTGAAACTGGCGCTTGGGACCGGTTTCACCAACGTTGTTTAACTCCGAGCTTAATTAATTCTTCGTCTCCTTCCAACTGTTATTTCAGAAAGGGACAAACGTGAATTATAAACTGAGATTAAAGTTAAGCGACGTTTGGTGAAACCGGGCCTTAGCTGTTTACCGAACGCGAATAAACTGATAGAGGAATACATACGGCTTTAGCCGCGTATGCGTTAAGTAGTTACGTAGATTAGGTGTGTACATAAAAATTTTTTTATGTTATAGATATAGTAAAGCTCTCCATTGTTTAATTCGGTACATGCTTGAGCCAGATCCCGACGTACGCCCTGATATTTATCAGGTTTCCGCAGTCGCTTTTCAAATTCAAGGCAAAGAATGTCCTGTGCAAAATTTACATGTATGTAGATTGTGATATACAATTATATCGGCAAATTTATATACGAAACGCGTCTCTCGCACGCCGTTCCGTGATAACTGTTCTCTGGAATTTGTCTTTGCAGAAAGTCCCGACCCCGACGGTGGAGTCATTACCGTGTCCGCCCATGGAATCCGAGAGTATTAAACGATCGGCGTCTGTAAAGACCCCGAAGCCCACGCCTATAGCGACGACGGTCGAGGGCACGTCCGTGACGCCGCGGCAAAGACCGAAGGGGCAGGCCGTTAGCACGGGACCGATCAGTTTGAGCGGTCAGATCGTGGGACAAATCTCGGGCCAAGGAAATCAGACGCAAACTACACCGGCAAATTCTATCTCTTACGTTCAAGTAAGGCCAACAAATCGCGAGCATGCTCGACATCTCTGCCTGAGATTTGATTGAGGGAGTGATGGCTGAAAAGATGCCGAGTCGAATCAACATAAATGATTCGACCTGATATCAATTCGACGTCTTCTCGACCAGTCATTTTCTCACTGGGATAGGAAAACATTTAGGTACTTTCGGCAAACGCTCGATTAATGCAATTATTTCGTTCTGTCAGGTGTCGCCGCACGTTTGCACCCCCAGTCAAAGTGTTCCTTTCGGTCAGTCGCAAGCACAATCGTCCCAGTACGGTCAATCGCAGAGCCCGATGATCAGTCACTCTCCTCTAACTCAGCAGTCGCCCGTTACCGTTCAAGATAAAAGTACGTTTTACTTCGATTCGAGGCAGCACGACGCGAGAGCTACGACGAATGTCAGCGAGAATTTGGAGGCTCTCTTTCCGTCGTCAGGTAGTCCTAGATAACGCGACGCGCCCAAGTTCCACGGGGCATAAGGGAAAGTGATCGAGTGACTTATCATATTGCCGCTTTTACAGGGTATCCGGACCCGTTCAAGGACGACGCGAGAACGATGCCACCGCCTGCCAAAATACCACCTCCCGTTGCACCTAAGCCCGGCAAGATTCTTCCAAAACTGTCCAACCCGAGTTACCCGTCGTCATCCAAGTATCCGCCAGTCACGTCGTTACCGTCGAAACTGTCCATTCCGACGGGGCCTAACAAGGCGACGCCGCTGACGGTGACGCCACCGGCTCTGCCCAAGCCAGTTAACAAGACGGAAAGTTTGAGTCAAAATATTAGCTCGAGTATATCCCCGCCTGACAGTCCGACATTGTCGTCCTCGCGTCACAGGAGGAATGTCAGTGACACGAGCGCTTTTAATAAGTAAGCCCCGCCTCGCTATTTAAATCTATTTCCTCTCTTTACATTGTATTCGCAGACTTTTACGAAAATTTGCAAAGTCGTTTCATGTGAATTTTAAATATTCGGCAAGATTAGCGTACTGTGCGAGAGTTTTAAGAGACCGGAATCTTTCTTCGGATCAAGACACTTTTGTTTATATTATAGTGGCCATTTCAATGTTCACAGAGCGTTTGCAACTGAAACCACTCAATTCTTAGCGCCATATGAGGCTTCGGTCAAACCACGTTCCGATGACACGACTACGCCACCGGAACTTCCAAGTGATACAAGGCCTTGTATAGCAACTAGTGCCTCGCATGTACGTGTTGTAAGTACACGAAGCGCACAATTTTATGTTTATTTTTGTTGGACGACATTGGATCTACCTTCGGAATACGAATCATGTTTTATTATTGAGACAGATTTCCGTTTTGTATTTACTATAATTTAAAATTGTCTACAATATATAAGAAAATGAGTTTTTTTTTGTATAGAAAAATTATTCGTAAGATACGGGTGAGGTAAAAATTTCTTTGGATAAAAATATGTAAATTACGAGAGATGTGAAATTTAATTTAATTTATACTTATATTTGAATTTCCTTTTTTAATTATATCTTTCTGTATATTATTATTTTATGCACTGCACTCTATCATTAGTGATACCTCTTCATCCTCAAGTAACTTAAGATATTGAAAGTGTCGCTTGGAAACAGCTAATACTTAAAAACTTTTGCCTACATTTTATCAGGGCGAACTTTCAAGTCTAATGGGATCAGAAGGGAGATCGTTGAGTGCAGATGTAGCGGCGTGGAATCCGTTTGAGGATGTACAACCTTTTAATCAGTTAACGGAAGATCATATCTTCGGCGCTGAATTTGACAAAATAAGAAGAGGGAGCAATACCAGTATCAGTGGGGTGAAAAGTCGCGAAAGCCTTGTTATGACATACACAGACTTACCGGAAGATCCCTTTGAATCTGCACCCTTTAGCCTGCCAAGTAAGCTCTCGTTCGAGTTCTCTATTAATCTAAAAAATTAGTACATATGTATATATCTTATCGTAAAACTGACGTATCTATTAACGTTTTCATTCTCTCTTAGCAGGGAAGAAGAATAAAATTGGGTCAAAGACTGCTGCTATTGCTGGAGGTAATGCATAAAATCCTTCTTACATTGTCCTTCATCATCTTTCTTCCACTCGTTCCTATATTAATCTATTAATCTATACTTGATTTGAAAGCCATTCGCTCACTGTCTTAATACTTGGTTTCTTACTTTTGCCATCGTCATGCTACGTGAGGTTTTAAGGTGTAGTCGTGATCATTGTCTTTCATCGTTTTCAGTTAGTCTCAGTTGTATATCAAATATACCAAAACATTTATGAAATTTGATAACTTAGTGATAAGTATTGAAGAAATGTTCATTTGAAATGTTAAAGAGATTTCTTTTTATATTTATATATTGTTGAATGTATAGCTCATTAATCTAACGTAAGGTTCAGTTTTTATATATCGATGAATAGGTAGTTTTATAGATGTAATTTACATGTATAAATACTGTAATTCGATCAAATTAATTTTTTTAATGTTTTATTACATTTAACTTAATTCACACACACTATCGAATTACTTTAAGAAACAAAGTACTAGAAATAATCTTGTTATACAACTAAGACTATCTTCAAAATTCCATACCTTAGCTTTATATACATATATAAATATAAAACAAAGAAATATTATATATGTTTAATAATTATGAATAATAATTTGAAACAACAGTTTCGTTCATTAACAGATTTATATATAGACTTAATTATTTTCTTTTTAGTTTAATTTCATATAATTAACAGAACCTTTAAATAGTAAAGATTATGAGACATATTCAACGGAGATTATAAAATAGATATGCCTTTGAATCACAATAATATATGAAGATATAAATCAATAACAGAAATGAAGAACGATGAAGAAGCTAAAAGTAGAAAAATGTTACCCCTACAGCTAGGAAGTAATATCTATTATAATTAGTCTTTGTTTCAATTTATTATTTCGAATACTCACAATTGGAATGACCGTTGACTAAACTCATCTATAAATAGCAATGTGTATTTATACAAAATGTTTGTGGACAATAGATGTAGATAAATGCTGAAATGACGATTATCAGCATGTTACGCTTTTCTGCACTTCCATGTACATAATTCTTAATTTTCATTAATAGAATTTGAAGTAACGCGAGGAAAGAAGTGACGTTTCAAAGTAATATATAAAATGAATGTTTTCTTTTTCAATTTTTAATTAGTATTACGTGTGTGAAACTTGATTTGTGATATAATACATAATCAGTTACTGTGTGATAATGTTGATCATATTGTTGCACTGCTTCATTAAATTTAATTAAAAAGAACTAATTTTTTTTAAAGAATGTTTATTTAGATAAATAAAAGAATCATGGGTTTCTACTACCATCTGATTTACCAAAGACGTGTGATAAGTTAGTAAGCTTAAATGTCTCTACTCGTATAAATGGAAATGAAAAAAATGCCTTAGTTAACTAACGAGTTTCAAAAACTCATTATATGCGCTCTCGTTATTCTGAACAAATCTTATCTTTTAAATATAATAGGATAGATAATTGATAGAAGTGTAAACTATGCACAAATTATTCTTTCAAGAGAAAACAGATCTTCATTTTCAAGTATATTTACTCATAATATGTCATTTGCAAGAGATTATCGTGTAATTTAAAGAAAATTTTAATTTTTCATGACACGCTTATGCAATACATACATAATTGTTTATCTAAATAACTTTCATGCTTATTAAAATAGCATTATTCATAAATTCACCAAATATTTTTGTTTTCCTTTACGTTGATACTTGCTTGTCAAAAGTACTCGGTTGCTGTTTCGATAAAGATGATTGAAGAATTGGTTTATTTGCTAATATATCTGTGAAAAAAAGATTGTGATGCAAATCTGCTCAGTTATGCTCAATTACATGAGAAAGGGATGGTAGAATATTACCAGTGAATTATATATTAACTTCTACTTACCTCAAATAGTAAGTTACAGCATAAGGATAATACATCGAACATTAGACTCGAAATACGCTATATATTGATTATGTTATGACAAGTGTAATTATTAAATATTGTTGAGAACATGATGAACATATAGGATAAAAATAAATTTTGTCTTTATAATAGATGTTCCTATGATATATAGTGCACAAAGCGGAATTAGCTTTTATTTTTAATGTTTCCGTACGCGGAATAGTGAATGTATCGATAAAAGGGAGGAACAAATTACATATAAATATTACATATGCATATATATATAAATAAATGAAAACACTCATCTACATGCATACATATATATATACATAATGCAATATATATACATATACATATATATATGAAAAATTATGTTATATATTATGTGATATACAAAGTTTAGGTACACTATTTTGTCCTACTCATATACATATACGTGCAAACGTATTATGTGTTACAATGATTGTATTATATAGCATATAAAAAGGAAGAACGTGGGAAGAATAGGTTTCAAGTATTTCCAAGAGAGTTATATGCATTGCGATTAATACAAAGTGTTCGTATTAGCGCAAAGAACGTGGAACTCGGAAAGATCATTTATTTTAGAAAATATATATATATTATCGAATACGCGAGGATTTATTTTTGTGTGCGGAAGTATCGGCGCGAACCTTTCCTTCCCACAAAATGACGATTCTCTGCGCAATGCGTGAATATATACATACAGACGTACGTTAAGAGTTATTATATAAAAAAAAAACATCACAAGATTGTATCTGCTTCGCGCGATGGTAATACTACAGTGGCTGGCAAATTATATACTTAGCGATTATTATTTTCATTTCTCACTCTTCTTCCTCATCCTCATTTCTTTCGTCACGACTCTCTTCTCCTTTTCTTCTCTGTTGGTTCGTTTATTTTCACCGTATCTCAATTACATCGCTTTCACACGGTATTTGTTAATTTGGGTTTCTTCTTGGTTCAACTAATATTTCTCCAACTGTATCTGTTTGGCTTGTATAAAAAACTTCGGGATAGGGTGATGTAATTTAGCATTGTAATATCTGTAACTTGTAAGAGAAATATTATTGGAAAGCAGGGTCGCGCCAAATTACATCGCTTTATCTCCTTGAAAAGTGTAAAAATTATAATCTGTGTTGTATATTCTTTGTACTTTGCATACTCGTCTTATGTATCTGTTGTCCAATGCGTTAATGTCTATATCAAATAACATATCTTGTATTGTAACAAGTGCCATAGGTATTAATCAATATTGTACGTACTTGTTATACCTCCCAGTGGGGTTTCTACATAGCAGAGTAGTCATTCAGATGTTACGACATATATATTTTTTAACAAAGTTATATCGGGGAGAATTAGTTTTATGCAGAAAAAATAGTCCAACGAAGTTAGGGTATCTTTTTCACTGGCACTAGTAGTATTACCAGAACCGCCGTGTAATGTTAATTCTTCCTCGAGCGTGTGTGTCACAAAACCTTCAAGGTACGGCAAGGCGGAGACAATTGACGACAATTGATAAACGCGCTTGTTTCTCTGTGAGAGAAAGATTTACGGGAAATTATACTCTTATCTGTCCAATGTCTGGAACAACCTAATGAGTTTGGGAGGCACAAGCCCTTCTCTTCCGTATTCGAATCGTTTATTTACGAAATCTTTCTTTATCAATCTTGTCCTGCTTTGTTTGCCTCCCATAGTGCCTCTAACAATGTACCGTCTCAGAAAACTAATTACAATGAGTTAAGTTGCGATGTATCGTACTAATAAAAGAAAGAGAACTTGTTATCTATCCGTCACCATCGAATACAAGCATGCTTCTCCTCAATGGTAATCTGTAGCGAGACTCGTGTGAAAAACAGAGAGAAAGAGAGAGAGAGAGAAAGAGAGGAAGAAATCATTTTGCGAATTAAGAGCACTATAGGGGGCTGACAAGCATCTTGGACAATACCTTTCTCGCTGTATTAAGACAAATAATGTTGCAGCAATAAAATGTAAATTAGCATACGGAGTATTTGTTTTTTTCTGAACGCTACTGGCAGAAAACGCAGCAATACTTTGCCCCTTTTGTGCAAGACACGAGCAACGGTTTGACGCAACTCGCCGGGTGTATATTTTCGTGGTGGCTTGGAGCAAAACCTGTCACTCAGAGCATTACTGCGTTTTTTAACACTCATCCTCAATCCTCTGAATCTGATTAGGACTGTTCCAGACCTATTGGTGGCGGTACTAACAATAACTTGTCCTAAAATATCGTATATATCGTGCTACTTTCTTCATGTCGAAGAATCCAACATTACCTTTTTCTCTGGAAGCTCATTGCGGCAAACTGTAAATATCAATAGCATATCATAATCAGCAGAGTGCACTGTTTGCAACAGACCTAATCAGACATCTCCCGTTTCTTCTGATTCTTTTTCTTCTGTAGATAACGGTATCACGTTTTAATATCAGTAAAGGTCAGTCTTATCTGTTATATCAGGAGGTTCAAAAGTATTGAAAGCAAAATTTGTAATGACGGCACTGGATTTACGGAAATTGCATACGGAAATTATTTTGCACATGTATAGTGTCAGCAAGAATCGAGAGTTGAGTAGATTAAAGGAATAACTATATATTACGCATATCATTTCTTATACTAGGAGAAGCAAATGCTTATGTAATAGCTTGTATCATATTAATATAAGGACTGCTAAAACGCGTATTAGGAAATTTCACATGTGCACAGAGTGTCCCAGATTATATTGAAAATTCCCCGGCGAAGGGGAAATTTGCAGTTTGCGCCGCTTCATTATAAAACTTGGATACTCTGCGTAGCGTAAGAAAGTTTCGCTAATCGAAGGGCTCGATATCGTCTATCATAGACCGTTGTCGAGTCGTACCTCTTTCCGATGAGGTTTGCAAAGTAAAAGAATTAGGTAAGTACGTTAACGCTTCAGTGATAATGGAGGTTCAGTGATAACGTACTAGTCTAGTTGTAAAGAACTACAGAGAAACGCTTATCATTGAAGAGACATCTCGCTTCAGACGGTAATCGTACTAATGTAGCGCGACCCTCTGTTTCGCAGGTAAATCAGCCAACGGTAGAGCGAGGGTGCCCCTGGCGCAGTGGAACTCCGGGATCGAGCACGGTGGCAATGGCGGTGTGGACGACGAGGCGTCCCTGATCACGGAATCCAGCCCGGTCTCGCCGCCGTTTGTTCGCGCGCCGGCGGAGGATCGTTCCAAGTACGAGAAGCTGGCGTTTAACGCCGACGAGGTGTCGAGCGACAGCGACAAAGGAGCCAAGGAGGCGAAGGAGCGGACGAAAAAGACGAAGAGGCGGCGCGTGAAGAACGTGCTGAACCGCAGGAGGAGAGTGGCCGCCCAGCACGAGAACGCGGATAACGCAGCCAACGTGGACTACGAGTCGGACGACTCGATCGGCTCGGCCAGCGATCTGCGCGCGATGAACGACGAGGAGGGCAACGACGGCGAGGTGAACGACGACGGCGACGACGACGAGGATGGCGACGTGCGTGGCAAACACGATGAGACCATCTCCGAGAGCGTGCGTACGTGCGGCAGTTCCGCGTATCACGCCGAGTGCGAGTCCGTGGCGACCCACGAGGACGACTACAGGATGAAGAGGCCGAGGAAGCACCACTATCGGCAGCAGGAGCAGCAGCTGCCGACGATCGACGCGGACCCGATCGTCGGCCATCAGTACGGTGAGAAGCCACTGCTGCTGGACGACGAGCTGGATCCCGAGTCCAAGCCGGAGCAGTCGCACGGCGATCCCTTCGTGCGGCATCAGTACGGCTCGAAACCGCTGCTGTTCAACAACGGCGACAGTTCGTCCGACGACAACGACAAGTCCAAGTCGCTCAACAACGGGATATGGAAGGTGGAGGATGACGTGTTCGCCTTGGCCCCCTTCCCGAGGTCCAGCAGCTCGCGGAAGAGCAGCGACAGTCGCGAGAGCGAACCTAGGAACGTCGAGCTGGGTGGCAGCGCGAGGAACTCGCCTCACAACTCGAATCTCGTGACGCCGATCTCGAGCTCGCCCATACCGCCGGAGGTGTTCGTGGATGTGACGATGGAGAGCAAGCCCGCGCCCCCGGCAGCCAAGTCCGCCGCGTTGCCCTGCAAATATCCCAAGAATATTGTAATCGCGAACAGCAAGACTATCTACGAAGAGCCAGTGTCGTTTCATCAGCCGAACGTCGTCCAAACGTCGTCGCCGATCAAGAACAGCCCTCGCGTCAGCATCGCCGAGGAGGAGGAAGAGAGCATGGAGAAGGACCTCTTCGGTTCCTCGCCGTTCAGCCCTAGCGGATTCACCAATCCCTTCAACAACGCTCAAACTGGTTTCTCGAGCATCGACCCCGCGCCGGCTCAGCCCATGTCAATCCTGAGCCCAGCGGGCCCCTCCTCGTATATCGATTACGCCAACTGCGTCCCGCTGCAATCTCACAACGCGACACCGGACAACTATTACGCTAGTCACCCAAACACTATCGCGTGTACGTCCAAGTACGGCATGGTGACGGTCAACTCCGAGCCAGCGGTCAGCGCGGAACCGTCCAAGGACCTCTTCGGATCGATCCCGTTCGAGGAGTTCGCCTCGCTGAAGCTCAACGAACAACAGCAGCAGCAGCAACGTCCGACGTCTCTGTCGCTGTCGCTGTCGCAGTCACTGTCGCAGTCGCAGTCTCCGAACTACGTGGACAATGTCGTGCTAACGACGACGTTGCCGGTCAGCAGCGTCATACAGTCCCCGAAGAACAGCGTCGTCCATCTGACACCCACACCGTCGTCGCAACCGCCGTCCGCGTACACGATTCAAACGACCACGCATACCGCCAGGATCACCGTGCACGCGGTCAACAGCGTCTCCAAGGTGGACATCACGTCCGACATGATATCACCCATGTCGCCCGAGCCTCTGGTCGTCGCGGACGACGACACGCCCAAGCACAACAAGAAAGACAAGTCCAAGTCGGACAAGTCCAAGTATCACCTGATCAACGAGAACCACGGTGACATGGTCGACGTGCTGCCGACTTACAAGGCGTCCCACAAGACCAAGTCGGCGAGCCACAAGAAAACGCCGAAGGGTAAGAAGAGCACGGCCGCGACCGCCGGCTTCAGCAACATGAGCTTCGAGGATTTTCCCAGCGACGAGAACGAGGAGAGGCAGGCGGGACGGACGAAGGTTGCGCCCTTCGAGGTGATCCGCGAGGCGTCGGAGAAGCGATTTGGATCGTTGAAGAGGCGGAGCAACCCGTTCACCTGAAATGAGGTGGTCCTCGTTAGCAGATAGTTGACACAAAGCCATTTCTTGGCGACGCAGAAACAGATAGAGCATCGATATGATATAGTTGATTAATTCGCTGTGTATATCGTAGAGATACCGATAGAGACCGGTAAACAACGTTCTACACACGCAACATTATTTAATTGGTCAGAGTTTTATCATGTGTGTGTGAATGCATACACATACACATACACGCACACACAGACAGACACAGAGAGTGTTAGAAAAATATTAATCTCAGTAAAAAATGACATGATAAAATCTCCAACTGAGAAATCAATCGATACATAGGTTGTATATACATATATATATATAGAGAGAGAAAACCTTTGCGTTTAAGAAAATTGCTTTTTGCACGCAAATACGTCAGAGTGAAATTCCGAGTGAATAAAATTATGCCTGTTTTACTTGTTTTCGGAATGCGCGTTTGTGAAAAAATATAAGACAAAGACGTAATGTATTTAGATCTCTTACGGAGGATTGCAAAAAATAATATTCTATTTGAAGCTTTCTGCTTTCTACAATTAGGCCATATATCTAATGCTATAGTTTATTAGAAACTTTCTTTAAATCTTTAAAATGTGCTTGAATTAACTAAATTATACGAAACCGATCAACGTCTTTTTGACGCTCGTGCATTTTTTTCACAGACGTCGACAATGTGATGTGATAGCAGCAAGTAGCTGCATATGTTTATATCAGAAGGCATTCAGCATGAGCAGATATATTTATATGTACACATGCCTAACTGACAAATGTGTGATGGGTCGTATAAAACGTGATTTACACTAATGTCGGAAAGTATTAATTCATATACTACCACTTTTTAATTACTTTTTTGCATTTTTAGAAGATTTACACAGACAAGACAGATAGCCATAAGAAATTGATAGGAAAAAAGACATTATATTAAAGAAAACTGTTGATTTTTTAAACGTTGAAAAGGTAGAAAGAAGGCGAGAGAGAGAAAGAGAGAGAGACACACTTCCCAACTTATGTTTTAACATAAAAAAACCAGGTTGTGGAACTTGGCAGCTCGATACCAAAAATGAAATAAAAATAGAGAAAGCTCGTGCATCTATTTTTGCAGCTAAGTCTTTTCGCTACGTTTGTACTTTAAAAATTTGTAGATTTCTACTAGTACAATCTACTAGTTCATACAAAGCAATTTTTCTAAGAAAGTTAATCTGTACTATATATGTACACTGTATACATATATACATATACTGTACACTATATACATATATATATCTGTCAATGCAATTCATCGCGAAATCTAGCGTCGGTGAAAAGAGAGGAAATTTTTATCGTATATTTATGGTCTCTTGGAGAAGAGAGTGTAACAGAGTATTCCTTACAAAGATTAACATAATGGATCATTTACAGAAATTAGTGTTACAAAGGCGCAGATAATAGCATTGAAGTGATTTGTAATATTTGTCATAAAGGAGCGAACAGGCTCGCCTAAAGAATTGGCCTTATCGTGTAAGACTGACTTATTGTTTAACAGTCTCGATTAACATTTACATTGTGTAAGATGGCTATGTCTCCTTTTAAGTAATCGCTTATGATCCGACAACGCTATGATTCACACGCATTATTCGTAATATTAATACAAAATACTGATAACGCGTTTGCCGTGCCCGTCGCGATCGAGACTGTTAAATAAAATGTGTGAAAAGTAGCCGTGATACTAGTACTTAGTGTGTCAGTACTAGTAGGGATATTAATATTAATTTCTATCTCACATTGAGAGAGAATCTGTGTGTGTTAAATTATTCGATTTCAGCAACCGAATTTTCATACGTCTTATATAACTTTGGAAATTATTTTAACCAAATTTTATACTGCTAATATACTGCGCCTTTTTAATCGACTCTACGGACAGGATCTAGTTCAGTGTAAAAAGATGTGACAATATTATTAAAAGAAAATGTTTGTAATCTATGTGTTTTTATGCACATGCATATACTGTATACATATATAAAGATGTAACATAATTTGTAGATATTAGCTTATATAATTAGGTGCCTTCCTTTATCGAGTAGCGTTCAAGCTTGCAAAGTCTTTGCTGTTGTGTAGTATAAAAGCTGATAGTATTATAAGATAAACAGAGTCAATTGTATTTGTATATGTAAGGGATAGTGTATCTGAGAAATTATTTTTTCTGTTTAGTTCCTATACATAACGGTGAGATGTATGTAATCTATAGCAAGTTATATAAGCGATTTTCATGCCGCCATCACAAAAGTCAGAGTGATTTATGCAAATAGAAAGTTACACGTTGAATTTCAGCGAATCGACGCGATGAATTCAGCGAGAAGTATAATCCGAGTGTATTTCTTGAACATACGGGAGGACTGTTGTTATTCCAAGCCTTAAAATAATATACTCCATCATTCTGTGCACCGTGTATAATAGAACAAACCAAGGTGCTAAGAAAGCCGAGCATTTTCAATTCAACATCCTAAGAAGAATATTATTTGATTATATAAATTCTTACGAGTCTACGTAGTGTAGTATACAATACATTCCTTCTTTAAATCTTCATGTACTGTTATTTATTATATCGTTGGTTCATAGGTTCTTTTCTCTACGTTTTCTCGTGTGTACATGCGCAGGAAATAAAATCAATGTCCTAAACGTCGGAAAGTTTTACGGATACTAGTTGATACTTGAATTTCGTCACTGCCTGCACTAACAGGTGTTACAGTATTTTTCTTTATCATCTATCGTGAGTAACAATAACGTAATTATTATGTTTCGGAAAAGGTATAAAAGAGATCATGCATTCTCGTTTATGCTAATTTTAACTCTTGTGCGAACGTTTACTCTTAGGATGATCAAAAATATTGTTCCAACGTGTACACAATGTGTATGTGTAATATAGCAATGAAAATTGTGTAAAAATGTATAAAGAGAATGCGACTAAATAGAATATGAGAGAGGGACGCGATTATTTTCCACGGCAGAGCGGATGAGTCTTTAATTTTTTGATATTAGGCGTACGAAGAAAATAGTTACTGAAGACACTATCTCTGTATAAAACATAAATAAAATGTATGCTATATTAACGTGAGCATTAATCGTATACACCCGTGTCTTGTCACATGTTTCTTTACGAGAAATCTCCGTTGCATTTCACGAAAATACTGTCAAGTTTGTCGCGTTCGGCCAATTTTGCCGAGAATGTGACTCAGCAGCAACAACAGCAAAATTTCTCTCCTAAATTGTGCTGCTTCTTCCTCGCCATGATGAAGTTTATCGAGCACACGGTCAGCCAAGCGAAGAAATTGAGCCAGCTCGTGCATATTGCGAGCTGAAGCGCGATCCCAGTGTTCATCTCGCCGCGCGCCCAGTGATTTCTATCTGGATGAATATAATCCATGAAATCGAAAATCGCACCGCACGGGAGCCTGTTGTGAATCGCCTGCACACAACGAAATATAAATTAAAATAGATAGTTCTAATCTTATCACGTTTTATTTTCAGACCGGAATATGCCGGTTCGTTAAAATTATTTAGCACGGAAGGAAAGTGCCCGTCTCACTTGAATTTCCCGGCCTCCCGAGTTCAGGGTTTGAATGAGATTTCGTCTGTATTGTTCGCAAGTTTTGTAATAGCCGTCGGTTATCACGACCGCGTGGGCGAGCGACAGGCAGCAAACGAACGCTGCGAAGAAACCGATAGGCATCCACCATTTAAAAGCAACCCTTTTTTTTATTCTCACCACGACTTGTCCGTTGAGATTTCTTCTATAAAAAAAGATCAATTGATTAAAGAAGCATACATAATTGCGAATTAACAGCGAGAACATGTGATTTAAAGTTTCTTCGGAATTTAATGTAAGACATCGAAAGTTTTTTGAAATTTCAAAAGAACATCTTAATGAGATTCTATTTCAATTAAAATTTATAAAACAAAAATAAGTTTGCTTTCTTGCTTTCTTATTGCTTAATCGAGTCGGTAGAGGAAATTTTCTATCACAACTTGAAGCGAATCAATTTTCAATAATTTGCATAGACGAAAAATGAAAAGAATGTGCACCTGTCGTTATCGTATACATGTCCGCCAAGTCGCATCGGCTCATTCAGATTTTTGTGTATGCAACATCTGTATCCGTGATAGGCGCTGAGACACAAGCTGATTATAATGATGGGTACGAGGCCGTACGCGGCGAAGTGGCACAGCTTCTCGTCGCCGCCGAGGAACGTGCGAAACGTGTTGGTGCCATACAGTATGCAGCCGCAATCGACATCGATGCAACCGTCCAAAGTAATTACCCAATGCTGCCATGTCGTCACCAGCGATATGACAGACGTGACGGAGAGCACCAGGGTCGCGGTGTACAATACCGCGAGCCACAGTTCCGCTTGCTTCGCATTCATAATTGCCCCTTGATTCGCGCCTCTTTTATCCTGATTGTCGATTAGAAGAAAATTCTCCCCGTCCGCCTGCTCGTCGTTGAAAAAATGTTGTCCGTCAGCAGAAGCTACTTGGCACGATATCCACTTTATTCATCTTCGCGGAAAGAAATTCCTCCTCTAGTCATATTTTAATTGCAGCTTCGCATATGACGTCCACCTGGAAGATTGAGAAAATAAGTTTTACGATCCTAATCTCCGTCCAGTTCTTTTTTTCTTTATTTATACAGATTTATGGGTTTATCAGAGGCAAAACCGTGTTTCTTACGTCATCCTGAGCCCGAATTAGAGTGAATTTTTATTCCAAAACGTGAAGGACAATGATGCATACATATTTCTATCACGAGACAGGACAATTAATAAAACTGTGCTGGCTAATAATAATCACACAAAAAGATTATTGAATACGATCACGAGCGACAAATTATATGTAATGTGTCATCGAAAAAATAAATTGTGAGCTTTTCAATTAAAATTTTATTATATTGTAATTATTACTTGACATTGTAATCATAGCCTTCAATAGGAAGGCTCCGATTCCAGACCGATTCGACGAATGCTAATTTTGATTCTCGCTTTCATGTTCAGCTTTACGTAATCGAGTCTCTGTTTAATTGATTTTCGAGCTCGTCAAGGACCCGGGGTTCGTCGCGACTCGTCAGCGCGCGCAGACAGGAAGCGCAAAGATTCGCGTAGGTAGTTGTAAAACACGCGAAACAGCTTGAGAACGGCATAAATATTTTGCCGAAGCTATCTCCACGTTCGACAGATCTATTCTCGGCGGATTAAGCCTCTCAATTTCATCTCTCTCCATCGTGCGCGCGCTTAGCTTCGCTTAGCGTCCGACCGAGGTCCGTTTTCCGTCATTGACGCGCGGTGTCTTCACCGTAAATTCCGCAGTGTCTCCTGTCACGTTGCAAATAACGTGAAATGCAACTTAACACGACGTGCCGCGTGTTAAACTCCACCCCGCAATTCTGAACAAGATCAATATTGTCGTCCGACCAATGCTGTGTCCGTTAACAATATTCTTCACTTTCCTGCGATATCGCGGTGGACCAAATCCAGCGGGAAGTGACTTGTTGATCGATGTCGACACGACATCGTTTCGACGTTGATCGACGAGTCATTTCTCACTGGGAAAAGCCCCTTATCATACGAATTTGACGCACTGATATAACAATGTTGATCTGTTGCACAGTAGTACCTCTTGTATTCTGCTTCAGTGTCTTCACTGCTAGAATCCGGTTCTCTGTATGCCGATTAACACTCATCGACTGAATTATCCAACCGTATTGTAATAAATATTACGAATCTGAAAAGAAAACGTTAAGAATTAGTTATACAATAACCGAAAGCGGGGAGTTAAAATCAATGTCGCTGGAGCTGGCCTGAAAACGATGCTTGCAGAACATGCCTGTTGAATTATTTCAAGAATGAATTATTTTCTTTCTTCTTGCGCGCTTCGCTCCGCGGAGGGACGTTAAAAGGGGCACGATTTGCGGAAACGCGCTGCAAAAGCTCGAGTTAAAACTTCAAGAGATCAAAGTAAAAAACGTATCACTTAACGAGAGAGAGAGAGCCCGCACGTTGCCCTAGTTCTCGACACGACTTGTTATGATAAGCGGATGACGAAGCTTGGGAAGTGTACCTCGTCGGGCCATTAATCAAACTTGAGCAAACAAGTGGCGGGACCTGGCGCGTAAACGATAGGAGAACAATTCGAATATGCAACGTGCACCTGCGGGGATCGAAGATAACAGACTGAAGGAGCGACTGCACTTACGTTGATTAGTGCCGATCGCAATAAAACTCTCCTCACTCTCCATCTCCAGCTAATTTTAGCCGGAGCGGCACTCGGAGGTGTTAATTAGGATTAATTAGCATCACCTACTTTTTTACGGGAAACAATCAGACGCTGACATTCCGACGACGTCGTAGAATGCGACGCGCGGACGACAAGTAGTGTGCATGCGATTTGAGAATGGCGCGTCTTGCGGACTTAACGAGCGAAGACGATAAGAAGGCAATAAAGTAATGAAGTAATAAAATAAATTAAAAAATTTCAATCTCCTAATAAAAGTATCTCTCTTTTTCCCCCTTGAGACTCAGAGCGAACGGAAATCCTTTCGATCCACGCAGACACAATTATATAAACGATGCAACATTTATATTTTATTGGTATTGAATTCCCGAGAAGAAGGAAAAGATTAGAGGTATTCAATTTCTCGTTCCTCCAAATCGAAAGCGAATCCGTTCTCGTTGACGAGGAACAGATGGCCAACGATCACAGATGCGCGTGGTAAAATGTGTGCAAAACTTGTTAGAGAGTTAGGAAGCTTCGACGATTATGATTTTTAACTCCCAAACTTAGCTGCTCTCCTCAAACCTCACGCGCAGCCACGTCCATCGGCGTCGGAGGATACGAACTGACTACTCTCGTCGGATCTACTCGCGCCCCTTGGCGCAATAACGCGTTGTAGACGCAAGAATTTGCGCGCGTGTGTTTCTTGTTTAAATAAGCCGCATATTTTCGTAAATATTCTTTCCATCGTCGCGGCTCACCACGTTCGACAACGGTCGTGGATCCCGCGGCTCAAATATTGACACAATGCGAGCTCAGCCTCCTATTGCCACGTCCGACGAGCACCATATCTCTCTTGTCCTCTTCACGGATAATTACTTCGTTAAGTAACCGATTATATTGTCGACTTGTAACAACGCTTCGCGCTGAAAATCGTGCACACTTTGTTCGGCAAACAAAGAAGCTCTTATCCCGACCTATGTATAGCGTCTAGCGACGTAACTCTCGTACCTTCCTTGGTCTGAGATTTCTCGGTTCTCGGCTGTGATCTCTCCAGATATTTTCCTCACCTTTAAAATACGAGAAAATGATTGCGTACAAAATTAATTGCGCGGCTTAAACACATGACAACTATCGGGAAAGTTTCTATATTTGTACATCGCCGGCTGCAATGGAACTGATAAACGCACTCGCAACGTTTGATAGATAAGAGCGAGGAATTTAAATAGAGACAGCCGCCTGCTGCATTAATTTTCTCACCTGTGCAACGTGCATCGATTACACGCGGAATCACTTCGCCAAACGCGTCCACGAAGCTCGCATCATTCTTCCCAGTTATCGAAATGTGATGCAACCCTCCTCGACGTAGAAAATTGCACGCAGTTTCGCTGTGTGACCGAACGAGTGATCTTCTCTAATTTTGTTATATTGGATGTCCAAATAAATTTTTGCTTTTTCAACCACCGATAAATTATATTACGAGCTGTTTGACACGCACGCACAAACGATCGAATACATTCTGATCAGCGTAGAAATTCCCCATTTCCGTAACATGCGCGTGAAACCCGATAGCGAGATAAACCTTGATAAGATTAACGCCTTTCTGGCAACCGTCCTATGTAATGAATACAGTTGCCGCCGATCCCACAAAGGCACGCGTGAATCGCAACGTATTCGCATTTGCAAATAGAACTTATTGCTATTCGATTATATATATATAATATTAAATCGTAAGTATATACGTACACGTTACATCAGTCCGCTTACCTCAAAGGACACACGAAGTGTTGGTTTCAATAATTTATTTGCTCTAACATTCAATAATTTATTTGAGTCGTACGGTAAGTTTTTCTATATACAAGGTAACATAGAGATATGAAAACGCATCGGAGATCTTTTATCGGTATGGATGTCAATTTGTTATATCAATCTGCAAAAAGAAAGAACAAGAAATCACATTAGAATACTCGCTAAACTACTCCCGCGAGAGATCAACTGTCACTTTATACCTCATTTCTAAGCGCGTTGGAACCAATTTGCAAAAATAGGGGATTGGGCTTGTCAGTTCGTTACGTTGGAAAATAATTTATTCGCAAAAGCGCCCTACCAGCCAGTTGAAGACAAAAAGAGAGGGTATTTCTCTAAATTTTGAGCAAGTAAAATTCTTTACTTCACTACTAGTAATCTACTGTGTGTTTTACATATTTTCCATGTAAGAACAATATTTCCCTTACTGTGTGAAAATATATTATGTAGTTATTATATGTAGTAACAGTTATAAATCTCAATTGATCAGCAAGCTTTTATCGCATTCAATTATAACATTTAATATATAAAACATGTATTATTCTTATATACTTTAACTTGTAGAATTTAATGCGTGATAAACTATATCACAAAGTGATAACAGTATTATGTAATTATGTCTAATTAAATAATTTAAATAGTTTTATAGTTATCTTATCTCTCTCGTTGAACTTGGTAATTATTTCTTCTTAAAATTTAGTTATCAATTCTTGCTTAAAATATTTTTACACAATGTACAGACTACAGAGTCTATACATATGCATATATAATTAAAAATATATTTAAATATATATATATGCTAAAAATATGTGTACTCCACAGAGAGGACACACTGGTAACAATCAGAAGTAAATAAAACTCTTAATGGCTGGAACATTTTGTACAAAATTTTAATTTCATATTATATATACCTAAACTGGGCAAAGAAAGCATTTTGCAAATTATATCTTTCTGCATAATTTCCCTTTACATCATAACGTTTTAAGTAATATACATATTTTTCGTGTGTGTTCTGATCGTGGTGTCTTCCGAGATATATAAATAGCTTGTACATTTGTGAAAGCTTCACCTTCTCTAACAATACAACATTGCTGCGCTACATTAATTGACTGTTGCAGCAGTAGCAGCAATGAATTATGCGGCGGAAATAATTGACATGGCTATACTTCAACTAAACCTTTTGCTAAAATATATACACACTCTTACGTCGCTTGTTTCCAGCTGTTCACACGGTGCAACGGCAAGCCACCGTTATTCCAGGCACAGTACATCACCGCAACTCCCGCTGCAATAGCGCCCGCAATACCAGCCTTCCTGATCCCGGCTGCAATTCAACACATTACACCGTACAAATGACCGTAAATTATCTATTGTAACAAATATTGCAATAATAAAAGAAAGTCCCTTATTACGAAATGGGCTCCTAATAGAAGATTCAAAACATTCAATTTCACAAATTTTTCTCGTATCAACTACACGATCCGACAATGAATTTTCCACCAAACGGATTTCACTCCGAGTGCACAAAATTCAGGGTGGATCCAACAGACGGATGCCAATCGTTAGTTCGACAGAAACTCTGCCATCTCACAGGGGACTCCCCTCTATCCATGTGCACAGGACCACGTCCCATACCAGGTGATCTGAACACAGCAGCGCTCGTGGCGGCTGCGGCTACCGTATTCAAGCTGTCGTCGGTTCCTCTGAGCCAAGTAAGACCTATCCCAGCGCAGGTGTACATTATCATCATCACACCGAACGAATTCGCCATACTCGCGCCACCCTTCATGACATGATTAATTAATCTGGAAAGAAGAGACAACGCAATGTACGGGTGCTCAAAGCCGTCGAGCTGGTATTAATGCAGAGGGTGAACAAGGACGCACTGGGTTCTCCTGAGCTTGCCAGTCTCCCCGGCGATAGACGTCGCCTTGACGCCTCTGTACAAGCCGGACGCGCCGCCAATCCCCGCGCCCGCTATGCACGCGGCTCCAATTTGACTGAAGGCCAACTCGAAGCGGCCCCGCTGCTTCACAGCGCCCTCGGGGAATATAAACTCCGGCTGGGTGACGGGAAGGTACGACGGGTCGAAATTTAGATACGGGCTGAGCGAGGCCAAGCCCTGTTGCGAGGTGACTGAAAAAGAAAATTCAAGAGATACCGCGTGAGCTTCCTTTTATCGTTCACAATGCGCTCGCAGTTAATTTCCGGCCATCGTTCGACCTTTCCGCGACTAAATTAGTTCTGGTTCGAAATTTTCACGCAATGTTTTTCTCAGAAATATAGAACGCCGAGTCATCGAGTATCTTTTCATCTTGTATCCGTGGGACTCGAGTCTGATCTACGGTGAGTTATTCGCAACGAGCATTCCATTTCACGCGGGCAAATCGATATGCTCAAAAAATTTGTATCAATGTATAATACACAGTTTATCAACACGCGCAAATTTTTATTGGCTGTAAGATGTTTCTAGACGCAGTGAGCGCATTGTGGATCGATTTATCGTGGCCACGTGCCGTCCTTTATGTAACGGGAACGATTGTTTCTCTTATTCCAAAATAGACGCGGGTCCTCCATCTTTCGTCGACTTATATCGGCGCGACATATACTCTCGCGATAGTCTTATAATTACAATTGTCATTGATGTTTAAAAAAAGAAGCTGTACGACTGTAGATTCACGGGCGCAACAAGCAGGTTAGGAAGGCATCTGCGGTCTTAATCGACCGAACGAGCGGATAATCATCGGTGATGATGCAATTCCAGGAGACACGCGATTATGTCGCAGCCGACGCTTATCAACGTCTGAGGAAATTGTCTGTTACGAAACAAACAAAAAAAGAGAGAAAAGTTGACATGGGAGACCGCGACGAGGGGAAGGAAGTTTGGAGCGGCTCAAAAAGGAATCGACACGGCGCCCGAGATCTTTCTACACACCTGGGATGTTGGTGTTGCTGTATTTCCCGCTGTCGGCGTCGGCCTTCCCCGAGTTAAGGCGAAAGTCTATCATCTCGGCGTGACAATTCGATAGCCGTGGTACACGAGACTCGGACGACCGCGCGCAACGGCACGACGCATCGAAGCCCGAGAACGCCGGGTCGGAAGTGACGCAATCGCCCGCGGATGTGTCGGCGGACAGGTCTGTTCTTTCTCGCGCTCGAGCGATCGGCTATTTCTACTCCATTCCACTCCGCGATCCTGCAGGCCTGTGTCCACGATGCTAGAACTTGGTCCTAGTTCTAGTTTCGAGAAAAAACATCTGTAGTTATAAAACTGGCCAATCACAACTATTCCTCAGAAGAATGGAATGACTGTGATTGACCAGTTCCTTAACTACGGATGTTATTAAACCCGATTATGGTGCCGTGTAAACATAGACCGGTATTCATAGTCAGATCTTATATTCAAGACCATCTTAAGATCATCTCTAGATACTCCGCAACCAATCAAATGTTCCATACAGCATCTTTAGATAAATTCAAGACGGTCTTGAATATAAAGCCCGCTGCAGACGATGCTATTTTTCCTGCTGGATTGCTTGCAATTTAGTAAATTACTATCATTGCACCACTCAGCATTCAGGATTCCTAGTAATTTACTAAATCGCAAGCAATCCAGCAGAAAAAATAGCATCGTCTGCAGCGAGCTTAAGATCCGACTATGAATACCGGCCTATGGATTGGGATTGGGATTAGATTGAAATTTGACCAATCAGAGTAAAAGTTACTGAACTTGAGATTAGTAAACTTTAGTCCCAGTCTACAATAGATGATTTAAGCCCTAAGCTTTAAGAAATTGGCCAATCACGGTCAAGTATGAGTAGAATGCGCGACTGTGATTAGTCAATTTCTTAAGGCTTAGGGCTTAAATCTCTATTGTAGACTGGGACTTACTGTGATTGGTTAAATTTCAATCTAATCCCAATCCCAATTCGTAGTCTGATACGGGCTTTAAGGGCATCCCTTCCAATTGCGCAGTCTCGGGCCGAGACTGCGCGTTGCGTCGCGCGATGCGTTTGGCGCGTTTTACCGTTGTGCTTGTGAGTCACGTTGGATATCTTCACGAAATCGCCTGCGAGCGAGGATTGTTCCGGGCCCGGCTCGTCTCGCGCGCGTAGGTGCGCGCAGTTTTCCGCGTCGTCGCTTCGTCGTCCGATCGAACGTAAGGGAAACGCCGGTTCTAGTCGCGGGGCCAGGCAACCGCGTCAAAGGCTGCTTCGAGAGATATCCGGGTGCGGCAGATGAGAACCGTTGAATTCGCGTAGCGCGACAGAAGACCGGGGAAGGCGACATGTCCAAGGTACGGCGATTGGCGCTTCGCGGCGTCCGCAACTTCGGCGACGACACCGAGGACGTGACAATACGCTTCTACTGCCCGTTGACGCTCATCCTCGGCCCGAACGGCACGGGGAAGACTACCATCATCGAGGCGCTCAAGTACGCGACCACCGGCCAATTCCCACCGAGCTCGGAATCGGGCAAGGACTTCATACACGATCCCATGCTGGCGACAACCGGCTCGGTATGATTCTACTTGTTCGTCGCACACCCTTTCCGTATTTGCGTATGTACGTACGTGCAAGATATCGCGTTTATTGCGCGGTAGCCCGTACAAGATCGGCGAGAGATACACGCCGAGCGCGACTACTCGATAAACGCGAGATCTTGCATACGTATATATGTATATATTTATATCTCGTTTGGTTGCGTTATACCTGCGATATCTGGATATCTCTAGAGTTCCTCTAATTGAAGTCCGGCTTGCAGTCGATGACTTGATCCCGTTTCCAGCAAGTTCTGAAAGAGAGAGAGAGAGTGAAAAAGAAAAGAAGGAGAAAGAAAAAGATAGAAATAGCAAATGTATAACTTTCTCTCTTGCAAAATTACTGGCTAAACTTGTAGAAACTCTATGGTCCATATTCCGAATCCTTTTTTATTGTTAAAAGTGCCACTAACATTGGTTTTGAAGGATTTTCACTGGCTGAAAGGATCTTTTACGGGTGCTTTTGTTGACAAAAGGGGATGCAGAATGTGGGCCTAAATATCTCTGTCAAATGATGTAATGGTTTTAAACATGCTCACGATGTTAGATAATAATCATAAATGGATTTGTCAGAGGAATTTAGATTGGAACGTTACAGCTTTTCTACGGCAAAACTGGAATACTCGTTAACTGTTCAGTTGTCTGACTCGTGTAGGCCTTCTGTCGTTTGAACTCTTTACTTTTGCGATCTCGAGTTTCCCTCGGTTATTATTTAAACTGTCCCAGGAGTGTTAAGAATGAAGACAGATTTGTTGTCGTAGACGAGAGCTGTGGTCAAGGCTGAGATAGTCGATTCCGTGGGTAAAACTTACACGGTAGCAAGAACAGTC